AACACGTATGATTATAATCTTAATCGGAATATTTGTACGATGATGTCGGTGAAGGTATCCGTCATTAACTATTTGCTCGGTGAGAAACGATGTAAGCAAGACATTTTGAATCTCTTTATTCTTCTAATTCTTCTATGTGATTGGCTCTAAAAGTCCATTTTACCCGTTCCTCTCGTCTGATTATGTTCATTCCGTGACTTAGAGAAATAGGCGGAAAACCGATTCCGCTCGGGATTCATAATAGCAAAACCGCATGAGCGGAATTGTGATCGGAAACTGGCCAGTCGGAATCTCGCGTTTCCGATCGGAATTGCAAAATTTTCATGATAGGTGCCCAATCCTCCCTCTAGATGCACCTGGGCGAAGTTTTTCTGAACGCAGCCCATAGTGCTTTATTTCAGTGCAACCAAATGCAACAACGCCGATGTTGTCGATTGGAAAAATGAATAAGTAGGAGTTCGAAGGATTCGAGTTCAAGCGGTTTGAGCGTAAAGTGTTTTTATCAGTGAGAGAAGTGAATTTTTTGAAACGATCTCTTGTTCCAGGGTAGTAAAAGTTTCGTAAAGTGTTAGAAAAAAAAAAACATGACGAGGTTCAGCTTGTCACAGTGAAGTCGCGGCGACGAATGTAACCTCTATAACCTCGTTTGCGTGGAAGACTGCGGTAGATCGTGGCCGGCGGAATGGCGGTTGGCTCGACAAAGGTAGTCCAGGTGACGAACATCGCGCCCCAGGCCACTAAGGATCAGATGCAAACGCTTTTCGGGTATCTGGGCAAAATAGAGGACATCAGATTGTACCCGACGATCAGGGATGTCGCCGTGCCCGTGCAGTCGCGCATATGCTACATCAAGTTCCACGACCAGGGCTGCGTCGCTGTGGCGCAGCACATGACCAATACCGTCTTCATCGATCGTGCGTTGATAGTGATCCCGTACCAGAATGGAGACATTCCAGACGAACAACGTGCCTTGGAGCTGACTAATAATGGCACAGTTGTACCAGGTTAGAATATAATTTAGACGCGGTCTTGGCAATAACTGTAGTAAGTTTTTAGCTGTGCTCTACAACAGATGTAAGTCTTTTGCCTCCTCTCCTTTAAATTCTATTTCTATCTGTAAAAAGTATTTCTGACATTACCCTAAGTCATAATTCCTAAGCTTTAATAGATTTGCAAGCTGAATAGATTTTAATTCTAAAGTTTAAAGCTTGAAAAGAAACTAATGTTTAACAAAGAGCTTGAAATAAAAGATTAAAGGCTTATATCTATTACAGATTGGGGCTTAGAAATTCCATGCTACAATTTTTGCTATGTTAATAATATTAACATTTTGACTATTCTTTTTAAACTACAGACAAACAGAAAGATTGAGAATAAATATATCATTAAATGTTCAATGTGTTTAGTCTGTTTTGAATTTGTTTATGCTATTCTTCTGAGATATACAATAAAAAAAAAACGTGTGTTTCTAATTTTCTAATAAACTATGAATCTTATCTATTCTCAGCATATATCTGATTTTTAAATTCTTTTAGGCCTTTATCCATCGGAACCAAAGTTACCACCAAACGTTGTGAACGCCATTGAGGGTATCCCTCCAAATCATGTGATTACCACAATGGATCCCAAGCTAGAAGCGAATGGCCTGCCATCCTATCCGCATCTGCCAGGTCATCTGGACAGTAGACGTATTGAAGAGATCCGTCGGACGCTTATAGTAGCGAATGTGGATACGTCGGTGAGCCCTGAACAGCTACTGGACTTCTTCAGCAACAACAACGTGGAGATCAAGTACCTGCGTATGTGCAGCAGGGACTCAGATGCTGAGCATTATGCATTGGTGGAGTTGTCGGAACAAGCCACTGTAGTCGCAGCATTGCTGTTGAATGGAAAGCAGCTAGTGGAACGACCAATCAAGCTGTACCACTCGACGCAGGCAATCGCCAAACCGGAGGCAAAGAGCAATGAAGCTGCACAAAAGGAGATTGAAGAGGCGATGTCGCGGGTGAAGGAGGCGCACAATCTTATCTCTGCCGCGATCGATCCGATGATCGGCATGCTTTCCAAGGATAAGCGAAGCAGAAGCGGTTCGCGTAGCCGTAAGTCTCGTTCGCGATCCCGCGGGCGTAGTCGACGCTCGAGATCACGTAAGCGCTCGCGATCGCGCCATCGACGCTCGCGCTCCCGTCATCGGCGTCGATCGCGCTCGCGATCCAAACGGTCCCGCTCAAAAGATCGCAGGCGCAATTCGCCATCGAGACGACGCAGCAGCTCGCGCAGTCGCCATCGTTCGCGTAGCAGATCTAGGAGGTCGAGGTATAACTGAACGATCTTTCTGTCTTTGCCAGTCTTTAGAGTCATTGTACTCGTATATGTTGCAAATCCTGCTTATATTTAGCTCCAAAATTCTAGAAAAATGTTTCAGTATTGAGAACAAAAAATTTAAGATAGGGTGAATAAAGATCCCATATATAAAGAAATTGTTACATTTATATGTACATGTATTAAATTAATTTCTTTTATTTCGCCGAAGGTCGCGTCGGTCACCGTCCAGGTCAAAGGAGCGGAAAAAGAGGTCGCCGCGTCGTCGTAGTCGTTCACGTTCACGAAGCAAGGGTTCCACATCCAGGTCTAGGCGATCACGGTCTAAATCCAAGTCGAGATCGTCCAAGTCCAAGTATTCCTTGGACAAAACCAAGGATAAAGATCGGGATAGGCGCAGCAAGGATAAGTCGGACAACGGTAAGAGGAGCGATAGCGATCGCGAAAGGCCCGAAAAGGAAAGCAGCAGAAGCGAGAAGAAATCCAGTAAGGAGAAACGGTCCAGCGACAAGTCGGAATCTAAACAATCGGACGACAAGGGTAGATCCGCATCAGAGAACAACGATAGCAAGGAGAAAACGATGGAGTCGGAAAGCTAGACGAAGGCTTCGTTTACAATTGACACAGTTTTCCAAGCATCGTAAAATTCAACAAGCTACCTGTTTGTTTTCGCTAATGTATTGGTACAGTAACAAATACATATGGATACACGACATTTTACATCGAGCTTTTTTCCAAATGGCGTCAATCTGCGCGTTGACGACTGAAATTCATAGACTGTCAGACTTGCTTAGGGACGGATCTTCATTTTCTTTTTTTTCGGAATCGGCGGTGGCTTGATCGTTTCTTCTTTCTCTTCTTTTTCCTTCTCATTGCGCACTTCCATTTTAGATGTATCCTTAGACGGTCTAGGAAAATAAACAATACATCGTTCAAAACAGTCTTGGACAAGAGTGTTTTCAATTGTTAGTTAGATTAAGCTAAACAGTTTGCAAGATAAAAGTAATAACAATGTTTTAAATACTTTATTAATAATTGTGTTTCAATAATATGTTTTTGTAATCAGTTGTTCAGTTTAAACATAATTGATTCGATTTACTATAATATATCTCTTCATACTTTTGCCCAGGATTGTATAAAAATGAATAAGCAATAAAAATACGGTAATATGAACGATCTGTAAATTACGAGAAAAATGTTCTTGAAAGAGTGCGACTGTGAATTATCGCTCATAGATTTTTTTTAAGTACCCTGCGATATCCTGATTTTCATAAACAGCCACATCGTCGTAGATTTCCATCTTCATGGGAACTGGCGCACGGAAGAGCGACTTTTGCGCATTTTTTATAGTTGTTCGTCTCTTCAATATCATCTGCAATCGTTATATTTTTTTATTAATTTGCCAATCTTTTTGTGTGGGATGTATTTAGATTTGAAAACATTCTTTTTAATGGTATCCCTCACCATGCCTGTGTTTCTGTTTTGCGAAAAGGGCGAAGTCATTTCCATCGAATCATTCATATGTACCTTCCTACGTAGCACGTCGTCCACTTGACAGCTTCCTGCCGATTAAAGTCCTAGAAGTGAAACGCTTCAGGGATGCTCTTGTAGAAGTTATTAAGGTACAATTACTTACTTATTATGCATTCATCATACTGGCCAAGAGGGTCTATTTGCAAAAGCGTAGACAGCATATTAGGATAACGTAAATCCATAAATATCATTATAATCGCCAAAAGAACGCAAAACAGTCCTGAAAAAAAAAAACAGAAAAGATTGAAGATGACGCAGATGTCAAACGTATAGAAATCATATACAATTATCAGTGTACAAAATGTATTAATCGATAAGTCTTGCTAGAAAAAAATAAAGTGAGTAAAAATATAATCTTATTTATATTAACATTAATAATTTAAAATAAATTAATGTTAAAATCGATAATTTAAAAACTCTTTAGGAAGAGACTATTAAAAATATTAATTAAAGAATAAGATTCAAAAATTCAAGAAAGAATTGTAATGGATAAATTAAAAAATTAATGTCTAAAAGTTTAAGCTTAATGTTCTTCAAATTGAAGATGCGAGATCTAGAATGAGATTTATGCGAATCCTGCCGATCTAAATGACAATCACCGCATCCGAAAGTTATCCAGAAATGCCGGCCTAATGTCATCCTAATGACACCATCGTCGAAGGGAATCACAAGTGGAATTGGATTGTGCACGCAGACCCACACGAGACAAGTTAGCAATTGCAAGCCGCCGATCAAGCCGATCAGGTAGGCGGCGTATCGGCTCACTGACTGTAGGAATATGTTAACCAGTATCCAGCAGGCGAAAGCGGTCCTGTGAATCAACATTCAGAAATTCAGAATTTTTACAGTAGAACGTATATCTTCGTTCTGAGAAAATTAGTTTACATTCATCTTTATATTTGCAGATTTAAGATTATCCCTCGGAAAATGTAGGACTATGGCTGGATCATTTTGATTCGTTTATTGGATAATCAAAGGATCGCTCCGCATATAAATATAGCACATAAAACAGCGGTTTTAAAGATTTTTTACATACTTGTGATATAAAGGGGATATGTACGAGTAATCGTCAAAAAAACTAATGAGTAGGTACTATTTGATCTTGCGAGATTTAACTCGTGTCAGCCAAAGAAAATCGATCTTTGAAATTATCTTTGTACGAAAAATACGAAGCTGTATTTTTATTTTCTGCATTTATATATTTTCGTCTCCCGTATCTTTTATATACTGACCACAATAAGATGTGACAATACCATCCAGCAGTTCGATAAAATCTTCCAAATCGAATGCCTTCTCCGTCGATAACAAAATACTCAGCGATCCATAAAATGGGAATGGGTAAGCCCCGTCGTTGGCCTTCACGGAAAGTCCTTTGTAGTAATCCAGCTAGTTCCATACCAGGAAGTTTATTGATAGAATTTAAACGCTAATAGTAAAGCGCGATAAAATATTAATTTGCAGCAATATTATACCGTAGGGTCCAAAACCGATTCTGCCTTGGTCCCACGTCCAGGGAAATCTCTCATTGTAATCGATCGTTTCTTTCTCAAGTGGCGTGCCTTCTTCCGGTTTGGCTAAAAAAGAAATTCTTAATTAGAATATTTCCGAATTTTATTCACAAAATTTGCATTGCACTGCGGAAAGTAGGCAAATTAAAAGAATTGCACTTCTATGGAATGTCCGATTCTTATATTTAAGAATTCATCTTGATAAGTGCAGTTTTAAGATGTCATAAACCAATAATCGTCGTATTAGCATCTTAAAACATTATTTAAGACAGTTTTAAAATAAGAACGAACTAAATATCGTTCATGGTATTTGTTTTTGAAAATAAATCATTTTAGACAATTTAAACGAAAAAGAAATTATTTGATAAAAAATAAATTAAACTTTTTCGAAATTTAACTTTCCAAAAATGTTATTACTTGTTGAGAAATTATTTTTCGCTCTATTCTTAAAAATATTAATTTTAAATTTCAGTATTCTATTAAAATTTAATTTTGGAACAAAGTTGAATTTCTTTATATTAATATTATAATAAAATATTAATGTAATATTTATTATACTATTATATTATAATAAAATATTAAATATTAAAAATTGTTTTAAAATCAATTTTTTATTCGTTTTTCTTTCATAGGTGCATATTCATCCAATATATCTATATCCATGAATGAGTCTTGTAGGTATACGTATATACGCGCAAATGTTGTAGCCTTATATTTTCGACTTATTCCCTTAAATTACCTTTCAGTGTGATGTTCACCGATCTCAGTCCTATCTTGACTGCCATTTGAGCATCGATTTCTTGGCCAATTCCGGCCCGATAGGGCGTTTTGCTGCTCGTGCTGCCGTATTCCCATTCTTGACCAAAGTTTTCTACTGCAAATTAACATTCGACATATAGATAAACTCAACAAATTTAGACAATTTAGTGACAATATAGAATGAATACAGAAAAAAATTTCATTGAAATATTTACTTATTAATAAGCACCCAATGACGATACTGAAGCCGACCTTTATAGTTACGTAGATGCTCTGTGCAATGTAAGAATTATTTTATTAGTATAAGAAGTTTATGCAAAAACATAGTTCAGCATGTGAATAAAACAAATTGAGATTATAAGTTATTTAGTTAATACAAACTTTATACCATTAAATTATAATTAATAGTAAGAATGATCTCTAAGTAATTTGAATTTAAGTATGTCTATTTAGATATTATAAGTACATAGAGATGAAAAAAAGGTTTGATTTTGGGACCGAGTAAAAAACTGAATAAAAATTGTTTTTTTTTAATCTTGGAAAAAGATTAAAATTCACTTGTCTTGATATTCATCATTAAAATATATCTATGTTATTTCAATATTATCTTTTGTGATCATGAATTCCTGTAATGATTGAATAAACATAAAAGAGTGTTCAAATAACATAAGCTTTATAAATTCAGTTTCTGTTTTCTATTCTATCTATCTATGATATTATCCATTGACAATCTCAGTATATCCATAATGACTATCGTCACTTAAATTAATTATAATTAATCATTATAGTATATTTTGATTGTTTACATTTTACACAAAAGTTTTTTGAATAAATGCATAAACTAAATTAGTAAATTCTAAAACAAACATTAACGTTCAAAGAAAATACATATTCGAGTAAAAAAACTTTAAGGACAGGAGCAAAAACTAATTTTTGAATACTCTAAGTTTCTAGTTTTTTCAAAATAGTTTTTATTTCTATATATGTATACATAAACTATAGATTTTCGGTATACTAAAATTTTATTTTGCAAGATAATTCTAAAGTAAAAATAAGTAAAATATAGTTTATGTATATAACTTTTGTTGACATGTATACGTTTATGATTTTATTATCTATGAACTTATTTCGATAAATAAGTATATTTAAAAAATTGTTCTTATTTCAGATAACTCTAATAACACATAATGTGGAAAAAATAGGAATCATAAAAAAATCTGAAAGATATCCTGAATTTCAAAGATGTTTCTTCTAGATGCCTATTAGAGCGTATAGTGTTACTAGAGAAGCGAAGTTATGTTGTTATATAATATATTACTTACTTGTTTCTTCCGATAGCCCGGTATAATGCTAATGAAGGCAATCGAGATAATCACGAAAACAGCGATTAATATGGTCTCGGTCACATCCACTGTCACTGGGGTATGATGCGCAGAATATTGCGAAGGAAAACCCTCCGATCGTCCGAATTGAAACGCCATGAATGTGTCTACTTTTTATCAGCGACAGTAAATAATTTAAGATAATAAATTATTTTTACATCCAGAAAAAAGTCGTAGTGAGGGCTCGTTTAACATTTAACGTTTAACGTTTGGGCCAATCTACACAGTGCAGTACTCACATAGTGTGAGAAATCCGACGATGTTGCGGTTTTATCTAAGTTCCTTTTCCGGTTCTTATATGACTGGGTGACTAAAGCGTCAATTTTATCGATAAACATTTAGTTACGCATAGTCGCGCGAATTGGTATCCCATAATTATCAAAATGTCAAATAAAATAATTTTTCTTTGTAGATATTTTAAAAACATACATGTTCTCTTGAGATCTCGAAACTTTTCAGGCTCTGAGAGATTTACGAATTTTATTTTGTGTTTATCATTTGCATTCAACAAGAATGTTATTTAATTATTTACAACAAATGAATTTTGTTCTTATATTTCTTATATTTTATTATTTTTATATTTAATTATTTTTATATTAATATTAATCATAAAAAGAGAAAATTGTTAGCATTCACAGAAAAAATCTTAAACTTTTTCAGATTTTATATTAATTTTCTTCTTTGGGAATAGAATAAAAATTGTAGAATATTTTTTAGACTTCGTATATTAAAAAAATTTTAGAAAAGATGCAAACTTCTTTAATGTTTCTAAAAGTGTTCGTATAAAATATCTAAAAAATTTATATAAGAAATATATATAACAATTAAAAAATTATATGAATCCAGATATCAGCTATCGTTACATGTTATCAATTCTGAGTTCTTTTAACTCTCTAGAGTTAAAAAAATTTTTAATGTTATCAATTCTAAGTTAATTTTCAGATGTAAAAAGAATTATTTTTCTAAAAGTTCAAAAAAGAGAATTCTTTTTACAGCTGAAGATGAACTCAGAATTGATGATATGTAACGATCGAATGAATTCTTTTTGATCTTGGAAAAATGAAAAAAAATTTACCAGGAGGTACTTGAATCTCATATATTTGCGTCTTAAACAATTAGAACATTAAAATAATGTAAAGCTATAATATATCATATTGTTGTAAAGAAGATAGCAAAAAAATATGTGAGATAACTCTATGATTGAAAGCTCTTTTGATTAAAAAATGATAAATAACGAAAGAGAATTTAATGTAATTAAATTTCAATAAGGCCGTTAATAGTATACAACAAATAATAAAAAAGGAAAAATACGACTGAGGTAGATATTATAGATAACCAATAATATTTTTAATTTCTACACTTCGATTTAATACGGTTTATAGACTTTTAAGTTCTTTAGTGTTTTAGGATGCTTGTAACTTAGCATCATCATCGAATTGAAGATCAATTTAATACGTGATTATGTCAGCTTTAATGTTATGATTGCTAAAAGATTTCTAAAAGATTTTTAAAAGACAGTAATCTGCGCGCAGTACTGTTTACTGTAGCTGAAATTTAAGAATTAAAAACATTATTGGGTATCTAATATCTATAGACTATCGATTGTATTTGGCACTTTCCCTTTATTAGAATTTAATTTATATGAGAATTGAAAAGAATAAAACTTTTGAAATTTTTCGCGCGCTATCGTTGCACTCAGCGACGCTTTGGACATCTCTCGCAAAAAATACAAATCGATCTCGTCGATCGTATGTTGAAAGTGCGAGGGATACTCGCGCACGTCACTCACGTCACGTGTACATATTATGTATGTATATACGTTCGTACGTACACGTGACGGTGCGACAGGTTAGTCGCTTGTCATCAGTCATCCTGGTTATTAATTTCATTTACATATCGAATTAAAGCGACTCTTTTCAATAAAAAACACGAACAAGATGACGGTAAGTCCCGCGAGTTCCTATATCTTGCGTTTTGCTTGCAATGAATGTTTATTCTTAATTAATTGGCGTTTCCAATTTCCATAAGGAATGTTCCAATTGTTTAGGCTACTCGTGTCATGAATTTACTTAAAAATAACGTAGAATCGCAATCAACCGGTGAAATGTATTCGTGTCTAAGTATCTGACTTTGTATTCTGTGCAGACGAAGAAAGGTAAAGTATTGACCAAGGGTGCGAAGCAAATAAAGGAGGAGAATGTCTCCACATTGAGTTTCTACATCTACATGGCTTTAGGCGCAATGGGAATTCATTTTGCCATGACGATGGTGTTATTCGAATTCACCATGCTGACGATAGTAAGTCAAATCTCGTGTCTGACGGACACCGCTGCAGTCACAAAAATGTCCTTTAACGGTATGCGTTATCATTACAGAGTCTAACGGCATTTTCTGCAATTGTATATATAGGAAGCTATCAGTTCATGTCATACATGGCCCGCGCCACGTATTCAGAATCTGGCCAGCTCCTGGACTCTGGTGTCGATCTCAACATGGAAGGTGGCATAGCAGAGTGAGCATTTTGCTAAAACAGAGATCTTTTAATCGCTGTTATTTTCTCCCGTTTTTCGTTGATCAAAGCCTCTTCATTCTGTTCACAGACATGTTAAAGATTTAATTATATTGACGTCGGGAGTGCAAATCTTGTCTCTCATTTCAAATTACTTCTGGTTATTGTGGCTTTTGGTAGGTACTTTGGCAAATCGTTTGCATTGTTCCATCTATTCAACATTGTAAAAAGACTGCATGGGAATTCTTGTCATTCTGCATATTTTGAAAATTCTACAGGTACCAATAAGGGGGAGCTGGATGCTCTGGAAGCAGATTTTAGCTCCGTGGTTCTTCGCCCAGCCACAAGAACAATCTGAGATAAGTGAAAAGAAGATGCGCAAGCTAGAGAGGAAAATGGCGAAACGACATCAATGAGAATTCCTTGTTGCTGTATAATAAGAAAATTCTATTGAATGACAATTTAACTACAGGGAATGGATAGTGAATTCAAGAAACACTAGAAAGAGAAAGAAGTTTAGGGGAGTTAAGAGTTTTTTCTTGATGTCTAGGACATTGAGATTACGCGGTGGGTTCGGCATTTACATAGGATATTAAATGGAACAAGACTTTGGAAGTTTTACGAAAATATACGAAATAGAGCAGAGAAACATTTTGATAGGACTAAGTGGAAATGCAAATTGAGAAATCGATTTCGTCTTCGTCTCTTTGTATTCGAACAATTAATTCTCGGCAGACTGCAATCCTCTTTATATGTTTCTGGAGTCGAGGTACTTCTTATTTGATAATATTAGTGACTTTATTCCTATATATAAATCGAAGGCAATACTAAATTATTATTATTATAAAATTAAATATATTCAATACGTTTTTCCTTAACATATATTTGTTATTGCGGTAAATATTGTCACAGGCCTCAATGAATTGGAAAAGATGAAGCCCATCTCGGATGGTCCAGGAAGATCCAGATTCAAACCCTGGCTGGAATATATTTTTCGAAATAGATTCTTCATAGTGTTTTTAGATGCTTATTAGCATCATTAAAATGATCATCAATTTAATTTGTGATATTACTATTACAACTTCAATTTATGATTGCATTTCAAGTTGGTACGTAATTTATAGAATTGCAAATGTATTAAAATTTAATAGAAATATTAGGTACCAAAATTCCGATCTCAACCATATTGTGCATCTCTAATTGTTATTCAATATAAGCGAGTTAGTTTAACTTATCGTTTAAATACATTTATGTACGAAAAATATTACATTAATATATTAATAAGTATTATCTTTTCATCAGCTTATACATATAAGAAATAAAATTGAAAGGAATAAAATCGTTGCTATGTAAGAAGTATCTCGACACTTTTTATCTATCTTTGTTAATGCTAATGTAAATGATCTTTTTTATAATTATAGCGATTATAATTATAGAATTATAATACAGTAATGCTCAGTTTTTTAAAAATCTTCCATGTATGTGTGAGAATTTAAATAATATAAACAGTGGTGAACAGGTGCCTTCATGGAATTAAAGATAACGAATGACATTGAAATACACGTTTAAGTGATGGATAAAAATCGAATAATAGATATGACATAATACTTGTGTGTATATTGTACGTTTGAAAGTTCAGTCGTTCTCCTTTTGGTGCAAATGGATTATGGTTAATTGTGGTTATTATATATATCAGTTATATTATTATTTAACGATATAAATAAATCATTTACTATTTATTAAATTGTGGAAGTTGATGAATCGACGCATCACAGTTGCATTTAAATCTAATGTACTGTATATACCTTATAATTATATTCTTTGTTTGGGAATGCAAACTTATGTTTAGCGATTCGGTTTTGTGTAAACGATTGTGTACTTATTTATATTAATCGTTGGACTCTATTCTCTGTACATTGGTCGCGGAATGTTTTGTATAATGCGCGATGAATTTCAATCCCTTTTAAAGTTAGGCCAACGTTTGTACTTTAATGTCTAACGTTAAACGTGTTTAATTCACAGCTTTCGTTTTGGCTTTCGTGTATGCACACATGACTGTTCAGTGAAAATCACAATTCAATTTGTATTAATTAACGTTATTTAATTATATATCTATATCTAAATGACCTGACGAATTATTTTGACAAAAAATTTTTGTGAAGAAAAACAGGTAATATAGCAAATAAGAGGGATAACATGTAAATAAATGCATGAGAAACAAAAAGTTACTCTTTGGAAATTGGAAGATTGAATAATAACTGTATAAATAGGAAATATTGATGGAAGATAATTAGAAAGCTATTATGTGAGAATGAACCAAAGCACTAGAAGAAAATTAATTTATGTAATTTATATTAATTCTCCATGTTATATCGCGAGAATTATGCAATGTTTTTCAATTTTTTTAAACGTAATTTCATACATACAAAATGCAAGACTGAATGAGGAGTCTTAATTGGAATGTCTAAGGCCTTCATAAGATGCTTAATCATAACTACATATATTATGACTTTAACTGCACGGTGAAATTAATTAATCCTAAAGAATGAAATCTCGCATGTAAAAAAAAATTATACGGTCTTAAGAATGTTGTGTTTCCAACATTGTCACTATACAATGATAAAAACGTAATGTTCAATCAAATGCGAATTCAATATGTCGATTTCACTGAACAGCAACGTTCGCCACCGCCAAATTATAGAATCTAGTCATTTTACGAAATGCTAAATTCTATATTTGACGATAATGAATTTGCAGTTGGAACAATCAATATCGCTTTGTAATTAGATATAAATTTATAATAAGATATAAAGTTATTTTTAAAAAGTATATATATATTACCGTTACTCGTTATTTATTGGAAAAAATAATTCGTTATCGTTATATTTCTAAAAACCATCGAGTGGTTATAATTTTCGAATCGATCCAATTTTTAATGATTTTTTTTTAGATTTTGGCATTCAATTGTTTACGTCGCTAAGTCACTAATTGAGTTCATACCAGATTTATGATAATTATGATTAATCGCACGGTCAAACATAACATTTCTTTTAACATTAGAACCGCACAGTCAAATATAACATTTCTTTTAACATTAGAACCGCTGTACCATTTTTGACCCATCTGATAATTTTTCTTTTCCACTGTCGTTGACTATAGCTATGCGTAGACTGAGTTAGTATTAATAAAAGTGCAGTATTTAATTATCAATGTCTAAAAAATCACATAATATAGATCACATAAATAACTCATCCACAGTTTTAGGGGAGGCCTCGGTTGCCGCGGTTTTAGTGTTAAAACTTTCTTATGCACATTTATTGTACGTTTCCATCAGAGTAAAAGTTTCTTTTTACTCTTTGGTTTCCATACACATGTATTGTACAAAAACAAAACGGTAAAAGTAATGATCATATTCGGTAGTTAAAAAAAATGTAATTGCGTTACTATTACCGTAATATCAAAAGTATTTAATGTCGTTATCAATTTGTTATTAAAAAAAGTAATTGTAATGGCGTTACAAGTACGCGTTATTTCCTAATCTTGGTAATGTAATATATAATCTTGAGAAAAAAATTGTAAATTTAAAAAATCTGTTTTTCTGCCTTGACTGAAACAGTAAAAAATATAGTTAAGATATAGTTAAGATTAAGACCATTGTTGTCCAAGATTTGTAAATTTGTCTAAGATTCTGGACATTGACTTGTGTGCTAGCATTTGTATGCCTAGTTTTCCTTTTTCTGTTTCCATTAAGAAAAATAGGCGTAGATAAATGCTCGCCGATGCCTAGAATTATAAATTTTGGACAGTACTGATCTAAATTGAAAATATATCTAAACTTATATCTCTATAGGTTTCATTACAAATATTGTATTTGATTATGAAATCAATTAGCGACTTAGAATTTTACGCACACACGCACGCACGCACACAAAATTCTAAGTCGCTTTTTTATATATATATTATACATACACACATATATATATATATATATATATAAAATTATATGTATAAAAAAATTCTTGTATAGTATATTACATGTATACATATATTTTGCGCGCACACGTACACACGCGTGCGCGCATATATACATACAAATATACATTTTATGTGCATACATGTAAACAATGTTACATACACGTAATATATTATACAAAATTCTTTTTTTTAAATTCAGATTTGAATCAGAAAAACAGATACCATTTATCTTTTTCTAACTAAGCATATTGTCTGTTCCAATTGCTGGGATATAATATATATATATATATATATATATATATGCACACAAACTAAAATTCAAATCCGAATTCAAATCACAAAACGTCTTGAAATGCATCATTGGAACAATCTTTCTAGACATTATCGGTATCTAAGCCTTTTTTTTTCGATAATTATACTCCGATTGATAACTCGGTGGATGATTGTGTTCATGCACCCCCGTCGGCATAAACCTCTCTGCGATCACAGAACATTTGCCGCGACAACCGCGATGCTGCTCCGCGCAACGGTAGTGTGAACTGTTGTTTACTTTAGAACGAGAGGTCATGTTGTACACGTATCCTTGGTGAACTAGCTGCGGTCTACCTCTAGCAGACAGTCTGTAAATCACTGGTACCACAGCTGCAAATTTGTCAATTTTCTTTTAATCGAGATTTCATACATAATGGTCGATTTAATACAAATATCTCACACCAATAAATTAATTATCTAATAAATGACATAGTTAAATACCTGATTGTAATAACGAATTTCCTTCCAAACTTTGTTCATTAGATAACTCAATTATTTCATCACTATCATTAATAACCTCATTAGTCTCATTATGTCTGATGTCCTCATTACTAGAATAATTCATGTCTTTTTCATCGTTATCTGATAACAGACAAACATCGTCCTTATTGTGAACATTTGAGTCATTTTTTATTTTCTTGATTAAGTTGCAACTGTCCTCGGTCATGCGTTTCTTTCTTATTTTAGTGTTCTTTTTAGCTATCCCATGAGAGTGCACAGATCCGTCTGAAGTTTTGTTCTTGTTTTCTTGCTCATTTGGGACATCAGATAAAGCAGTTTTATCCATTGAGTCATGTGGATTTGACACATTAGCGTAATCATTTAATAAAGGTATAATTTGTCCCTCGCCATCCTCTAATCCTTTTATCTGCAGCATCTGTGCCAACTTTAGGAAAGTAGGCAAATCTTCCTGTTTTATATTCACCTCTCCTTGGTAAATAAATCTCAGTAGAGACGTTACCTCTGTGTGTTTCACATCCTTCAATATTATCACTGGATGTTGACAAGGATTCTCCTGTGGAACAATTCGTGAGTTGTTATTTAAGTACAATTTTATTTACAGGACATTGTTAATAATAAAGTTGTACCTTAAATATGTTTTTAAAGTAGGGACTGCACACAGAGAGTACTAGCTTGTGGGCAGCTAATAAGTGTCCCTCGACAGCAATTGTTACATCAATCAAATCGTTCTCGTTCAAATGAGAAAGAAAACCAGAAGTCAAGTTATTGGAAAAGTTATTCCATCTTAAGGAAAATTCCTTCGACGACAATGTCATGGCCATGTTTTTCTGTATCAAAGTAATTAACTCTTAATAATATAACTCTTTAATTAAAAGAATTTCTTAATATCGCTAAACGCGTCTGGTTTGAAAAAAAGGTAAAACACAAATATCTATAAAAACGCAATGCACTTAATTACGTGTATATTATAAAAGAAATTATTAAATAAAATATTGAATTTTTCTCAAAGTTTCTTAACATACGTATGTTTAAAAACGTGACTAACTCAATAATACCGTTAACTAATATATATTTTTAATATCTTTGTAACAAATAGAAATCAAAATTTAAAACTCAAAATTAGTTCTTAATAGATATGATAAAAAAATGACTCTCTCTCTCTCTCTCTCTCTCTCGATTCGATTGTTATTTCGTCATTTAACGTATTCATATACGTTTTTTATTGTTTTGAACAGTCGGAAACCATTCAAATGGCCTCTAAAGCTTGAATATTTTAACTATTTAGGGAACCGCGATAGTGATTCTTTGTACGCAGTCAACAAAATTCGTTACCTGTTTTATTACAACGTGACTTCGTATTGTAAAGAAGACGCACCCAGCATGGACGCACCTATTTCACGGTAGCTGTCAAACATTTCCGTCATGAAGAAGAAAGATAAGATGAGATACAATAGAGATAGAGGCTGGCACAAGTGGTCCAATTTTTGATTGGCTGGATGCAGGCGGTCCGATTCATGCACAACCAAAGATATATGCTATATTTATAATCTATGCTAGAGAGATGCGTGAAGGCCTTCACACATAAAATCCCGTAAAGTCGTAAGACGTAAGCATAAGAAAATCGACCAATCCCAATTGAGTGGAGGGGTTACGGACAACCTAATACTCAATTGGGATTGGTTGATTTTCTTACGCTTA